TCGAAGAAAACTCCTAAGACTCCTATACACCCATTGGCCGACAGTAATTGACGAGATTAATTGACGTCGAAAAATTACAATAAGTATTCCGATTTTTTTTTTCAATGTAAGCGTTATTTATACATTAATTTCCTTAACTTATATTTTTTATACATAGATGTCAAGGTCATATGGATTTAAGATTATGTTGCGTCTGTTTTACATATAATGACGGCCTGCTTGATTATATTAGCCTGACATTAAAATTATTATTATTCGAAGATCCTAACCTTGGAGCACATTGTGAGGGTCGAGATTAGCTCTTCAGTGAGACTTCATTTATTCAGTTAGCGCATTTTGCACCGTTGTTGTCACAACTCGCATTATTTCTGTTCTAAGTGTGGCTCATGATGACATACAAGGCAAAATAGTGCAGAATTTCCTCCATCCACTGGTAAAGGCTGAGGTGCAGCTTCTACATCAAGGTTAGCGATTGACGGATGGCCGCTTGTCACATATAGGTCGGGGAGAGACGTTTCTCTTCCCCCGCTCGGGTTGGAAAACACTTCCGACTATCCTTACACAGTTTAGCCGGTAGACCGAAGCCTTTGATCAGGGTGTGATCGCCGTGTTCTTGCGAACATTAATTAAAATAAAATTATATGGATTAGTTAATCACGTAGGTATGAAATTTAGGTGAAAATCTATGACGAATCAGTACCTGGCTTTAGCATGAAATACAATATGAAGAGGAGACTGTTTAAACAAAACACAAATGCTTGTAAACAACTGAGTCCCGCGGGAACGGCACCAGCAGACGGAAGTATACGGAAACTGCGTTAGTTTTGCAGGTGCGTAGGAACAACGTGTTTGTTGTGTTATAAAAAATACAAAACAGGAGAAGGTCGGCGATGGCGTGAACTGATCTTAGAAGAGAAAGAAATAAAGGGTTCAGCCTGCCCCCGCAAAAAGGGAAAAGGAGGCTAAGAAAATAGATTTACATATAAAAAAAAACACAAACCAAAACAAACCTGTATTTTCACTTTTACATACATCATGAGTCGTTAGCAAGGACGGAAGAAGGCGTGGCTTGGAGACGTATAGATATGATTATACCTAATCCTATATGTCAGTAGGTACGTATTTACTTATGTATGTACGTGAGTTTATTTTTTGTTGTTGTTGTTGTTAATGTCTTTTTTTAACGTTTGTTTAGTGAAAAAATGTAACCGCTTCGTTTCAAATGTCGAATCTTGGAGCAACCACATCTATAAGTTACAGGTTTACACATCTTTTACGTTAGCGTTCCGACCATAAGACCTGGGATTCGATTCACTTCCTAGTGATTTTCTCAAAGAGTTGAATTCTTGTTAATATCTGCCTGGGGTGACGATTCCAGGATGCGGCACAGTTAGAAAGTGCCTGAAAACCATTCCATGTATTGGCTCAGACTTTTGAGTCAAATTTGGTAGGCGAGGCTGTTTAGAAACTAGGACAAAGTCACAAGTTATCGTGACTGAGTGTCTGTGCGTAATGGTCTTTTTCAACTGGAACTAAGGTCTGCTCTTCGTAGCTGCGATGTAAACCACAGGTTGGCTCTGTAGGCCTCGAAGAAACACAATTAAACCTGAGCAGGAACTTGCTCACCCACCAAAAAGACGAGAGTACTCGAAAACGAGTTGTTAGCCATTATTCTCATGAGGGAAATAAATCCAGATCCGAAACAAAATCGTGCCATTTAAGATATATATTTAACCAAACTGTCTTTTTAAGAACGCAGGTTTAGGTTCAACACACATCTTTGTAGCATACAATTAAAGAAAGCAACAAAATTAATTGTTACTAAGTCTGGCACAGGGTCACGGAAATTTTACTTATTACTTGAGTTTTTTTTTAATGTGCTGTATCCCCTCAGCACAGATCTTCAAAAAGCTATCAAAATACAAAGACCTTAAAATTGAAATCTCAAAAATGTGACACATGAGAACGTCAACAATTACAGTTGTAGTTGGAGCCCTCGGTGTGACTGGAAAAGATTCCAGTAGACTAATTGAAGGGATTCCTGGAAGTCCATGTCTTAAAGAAACGCCAAAAAAATTGTTCTCACGAGTACAGTCCGCATCCTTACGAAGAGCTTTATCGATGTAATTTTTTTCTTTTTTTTTCCTTTTTTTTGTTGGCGGGGGGGGGGGGGTTAATTGGTCAGTAAAAAAATGTCATGATGTCTTTTCTAACCTTAGGTCGCTGCGTGGGAACTGGAAAGAAATCTGTACACAAATCAAAGGAAATAATAATAATAATAATAATAATAATAAGAAGAAGAAGAAGAAGAAGAAGAAGAAGAAGAAGAAAAAGAAGAAGAAGAATTCACATGCTTTGACACGGAAAAGCAGGAAAATCAAGTGGAAATATGAAATTAAAGACGTAACTAAAATTCCAATATTCAAGGAAATTCTTAAACATAAAATGCAATTAAAGACAGAGAACAGGACGTTATGAAAAGCGTTGTAGGTCCTATCGACAAAATAAGATATTTCAGACAGACTTCAAGAAGTTCAACAGGAAAATTGTAAAAGAAGATATAGAAGTAAAATTAACACTACTCACCAGTTTTTTTTTAAAAGAAGAGTAGAGGTTTATATCTTGTTTTCTGCCCAGGATTGTGTTTCTGGTTCCTTCTAAAGTCTACTTCAGCTATGTACGCCTAATGCTGATCCTTTCCTACGTTAATATAGCTCTATACAGTAACACTCTACCTTGAGTGGCTCTTGAATTGGGTGAATGTTAGTAAAAAATAAAATAGCCGCCATTTATTTAAGAAGTGCAAATATTTGGGTAGAATATTTGGGGCGGCCCAAAAGAACATAATGCCAAAGCAGAGTGAATCAAAGTACAAAATATACAGTTGGATAAACGTGCACAAGAATGGAACAAAACAACCAAGAATAAAGCAAGGTGAGGCTGCGGACCTGCACACCACAGGGGGCTACAACCTACAAAGGAAAGGTGGGGCGTGTTATATGGTACTAGTAGTTATTTTCAGCCTCTGTTCTTGTCCAATCTTCAGACTCTTCTGGTGTTCAGATATATTCATATTTTTCGTTATTAAGATATATTTAGATATATTAAGATGAAAAGAAAGTACAGCGTAACCCGGATATAAGAGAGTTGTCGGGACCGGAGAAGAAGTCTCTTATATCCGGGTTTCTCTTATATCCGGGTTTGGTCAATTTTGTTTAGGTAAGTATGGGCTCTAATTTGGGACCAGAGAAAACCTCTCTTATATCCGGGTTTCTCTTATATCCGGGTTTCTCTTATATCCGGGTCTCTCATATCCGGGTTACACTGTATATATATATATGGGAATATATTTATATATATATATATATATTATGTTTAACGTTGTTATTTTATAGATACAAGTATTTAAGCAAATGCTCTGTTTATGATAAACAGTATTAAATAACATTTACCGGCCTGAATGTCCGAGAAATTTTCATAGAAAATTTTCGTTCTTTCTATGAAAATTTCTCGGACATTCAGGCCGGTAAATGTTATTTAATACTGTTTATCATAAACAGAGCATTTGCTTAAATACTTGTATCTATAAAATAACAACGTTAAACATAAAATATGTCTTTAATAAATAAATTGTCGGACCTTGTCCATTTCTTAATATATATATATATATATATATATATATATATATATATATATATATATATATATATACAGTGTAACCTTGGATATAAGAGAGTTGTCGGGACCGGAGAAGAAGTCTCTTATATCCGGGTTTCTCTTATATTCGGGTTTGGTCTATATGTATACATTAACACAGGCTCTAATTTGGGACCACATACAATCTCTCTTATATCCGGGTTTCTCTTATATCCGGGTCTCTTATATCCGGGTTACACTGTATCAGAAATAGAGAGAAAATATTAGAAAAAAAAATATATATATATATATATATATATATATATATATAGAGAGAGAGAGAGAGAGAGAGAGAGAAAGAGTGAGCGAGCGAAAGAAAGGTATCAATAAAGAAAAGAGTGAATGTTGGCGAAAAGAAAGAGGATAGAATGAAGAGCAGATGGAAGCAGACAGACGAAGGGGAGGAAAGAGAGAGGAAGAATGAACGGCAAGAGAGAATGGGAATAGAAAGTGAGAGAATGAAAAACAAATATGGAAGGAGAAAGAAAAATAAGAGAATGAAGGAAGAAAGGAAAGAGAAATAGAAGAAGAAAAGTAAAAAAGAGAGAAATATAAAGATAGAGGAACAGAGAAAAAGAGAGAGAAAACTCAAGATGGCGAGGTAGATAGGGAAAATGAGAAAAATAAATTGGAACGAAGATAGAGATAAATAAAATCAAGAAAGACGGTGGTGGGAAAGAAAGAGATAAAGTGGAAGAAACGTAAGAGGAAGAAAATAGGAGAAATTAAGGAAAAAATGGAAAAGAAAGAGAAAAACAAAGCAGAAAACCGGGAGTTATAGAAAAAGAAATAGAAAGGTAAATAAAGTAATAGAAAAAGAGTGAGTGGGTATAACGTAAGAGAAATTTGGGGATAACGTTGGAACAAGAGACATTGAAGAATGAGGCAATAATGCGAGCAGTAAGAGAAATGTAGGAGAGAAAGGATTAAAGATATTAATGAGAAGAGAACGAGAAGATTTTTTTTTAAATGGCAAGAGAGGATTTAAAACAAAGTACTAGGTCGAGAGAAAGAGAAAGAGAGAGAATAAGTAAGTTGGAAAGGAAGAGAAAAAAAAGAAAGAGAGAAATTCACAACAGATAAAGGAGAGCCGACTTAGTGAAGAGAGAAGGCCATAAAACCGTAAATGAAGTTAGGTAAAGGATGAAAGAGAGAGAGTGGGGCGAGTAACGTAATGTAATTGAAGAGTAGGGTAATAACACGAGCAGTAAGAGAAATGTAGGGGCGAAAGGGTTAAAGTTATTAAAGAGAAGAGAGTGAGAAGAATATTTTTAATAGAAAGGGGGGATTTAAAACAAAAAAACAGATCGAGAGAGGAGGAGGAGGGGAAATAAGATAGGTGTAAAGAAGGAGAAAAACGTGAAAAAGAAAGAGTAAAAATTCACAATAGAAAAAAAGAGAGCAGATTTAAAAGGAAGAGAGAAGGTCAGAAAACCATAAATGAAGTTGGATAAAGGATGAAAGAGACAGATAAAGAGAGAGACAGACAGACAGACAGAGAGAGAGAGGGGGGTGAGTACAGAGAACTGAAAGAGAAGAGTGTTTAAAAAGCAAGAAAAGGTTAGAAACAAAGAGCTAGATCGAGAGAGAAAGAGAGAAATAGGTAAGTTGTAAAGGAGGAGAAAAAAAAAGGAAGAAAGAAAGAGTAGACATTCACAAAAGAAAAAGGAGAGCAAACTTAAAATGAAGAGAGAAGGTCATAAAACCATAAACGAATTTGAATAAAGGATGAAAGAGTCAGAGAGAGGTGCTAGAAAAAGGAGAATAAAGAGGCCAACAAAGAGAAGGAGAGGAAGAATAATATAAACAGAGAGTAAGAGGACCCGCTTTTAAAAGTCTTCTTGTTGGTAGCTACATTTTCTTAGGCTGTAGATCATATTTAACGTGCCCATCTCGACCCATTCAATGAGTTATACATCTTATTATTTGTTATCGACATTTTTCACTTGGGCCCGGATGGGGGCAGAGTTCACAGCTCTACCAAATAAGATTAGTATTGCTTTATAAATCATAAGCAGAATGCCTACTGCAATATATTCGATAGACAAATTGAGATTACATCCTTGTCCATCACAGCTTCCGCCACACACCGGAGGGTTTTGCGGGTACGGCTTTATCGTACGCTAGCTGATTGTGGAACCTCACAGCCAAAGTTCTCTTTCGGATACCTTATTTGACAATGCTCGTGACCAAACGGGCAATGACGGAAATCATTTTAATAGATAAGTGTCAGGAAACTAATTACTTTTTACCAGAAAGAATGTAAAAAAAAAAAAAAATGTTAAATTTAATTAGATATTATTCATCAAAGATTTAAACAACTTAATTTAAAGTTAAGCAACGTCGATCCTGGTCAATACCTAGATGGGTGACCGCTTGGGAATAACACGTGCTGTAAGCTTGGATATGCGGTTGGTGTAACGAATAATGATACGGAATTGTTAATCGGAGAGTCGATTTCAAATACCCGTTAGGTTAGTTATATTCACCTATGCGCAAACGTATGAATCCACCTCTTCTCTCGCCAACTATGGGTTAATTAGTAAGTCTTGTATGGCTAAACCCTTATGATCTAAAAAAAATATCTTACGATTTAAATATATTTTATGGCTTTAGAAGTCGAAAAAAATGAATCACTGTAATACATTGTTGCAGCGGTAGTGTAACAAAATGCCGTCTGACAAGAAAAAGTGCAAGAAGCGAAAGTGTTTCATTGAATTAACCACAGCGAAAAATTGCTTCCAATTGACATTCAACTACGCTTACTGAACATTTGCGCAGAGGAAACGGTGGGGGTGGGCACAGTTGAGTGGCGGCTAAAGACAATGGAGACTATGATTCGTGTGGCAAGCAATTTTTTTTTTTGTATTCGTTGTATTCACTTATACGAAAAATACCCTTGAGATAGGTTATGAATTCGCCTTTTCACCCCTGCTATGGGTTAATTAGTAATTAATGTTCAAACTCCAGTGTCGGTAACGACACTTTGTCCCTATACAACATTATGAGTAGTGACTTCACAGAAATATGTATAATTAACAATTAATTCGTTACTCTAACGATGTACAGCTATTGTAAAGGATGTGCGTATGATGTAATGGATGTGCAGTGGGTGTAATGGATAGTGACACAGAATGAGAAATCATTATGTTCGAGTTCGAATACCAGCCGTGTTAGTTACATTCACTTACGCCTAAATACCCTAAGGAATCTATGTAATATAGGTTAAATATTGTGACTTGAAAACCTATTGTTAATGCAATACTCACTCGCAATATTCACTTACAGTCTAGTATATATTTCGGTTTTACATAACCAACAAATGACTGATAAAGCGTAAAACATCAACCAGTCATTAGTGTAATATGTGCCTTTTTTTTTATAAAATAATTTAAACGTATTATATAATAAAAGATATTTTTTAAGCGTAGGTTAGTTTCAGTTATTAATTTAAAGATATGTCAACACTTGTTTTTTTAATTGTTCATCCAATACAAACCTTGCGTGCCACTCAAGGTAGCGGGTTACTGGTTGAGGTTGTACGTATGTCGAGGCGGTCAGAGGTACAGGTTTAGATAACGGTTAAACCTAAACATAAAGAGGTTAAGAATTTAGTGGATGCAAAAGCATCCACTTGGGAGTCTGTTTCACGGTGCCGTGGTTCTTGAGAAGAAGCTGTCCAAAGAAATTTTTACTAGCTGAATTCTAAGGGAATAGAAAGGATTCGTTTCCAGTGTACATTATATGGCGGGTCTTAGCTATGAATGTCAGGCCTGGTGGGGGCTAAGGAATGTAGCTCGGCAGAACATTTGCCATGGAAATAGCGATGGAGTAGAAACAGGCTTGTGACTGTTCGTCTATGAGGGTTTGCAGAGAGGAAACTAACCCATAAGGCTTTTGAACACTATCAAGCATGGGAAGGGAAATCTTGGCATATATATGGAAGCGGTATTCCCATTTCGGTTTCATTTCGCTCTTATAAAGATACAGCATCGCACTACTTACTGGAATGATACAAGGAATCTGTCATTTTACTAGAATTTTAGCCAGGGATCCTATATATGAGTTCCACTTGAAGTCTGCGAGGAACTTTAGATTTTAAAGACAATCATCCTCCTTGATATAATAGTCCTGCGTATGAATATAAACTACATCCGACAAAAAGACTTCTGATTGGGAGATTGGAGGTTTTGAGAAGCGTGGAACCAGCATCTAATTGCTGTTGTTCCCATATGTGCCTTGACACGGAGTGGTAGCACCTGCTAGGGTTCCATTTGTGGGCAAATAGTTAACCCCGAAACAAAACACTATGAAAGTATAAAAATACATTTTTTATAGTAAAAAAAATACCAGCAATACATTTTATATAAAAATGACCTACAATGTATAATTATAGTAAAATGTCCAACGAAACATTTTATCTATAGTTGAAGACGTACAAATGCATTCAAAATATGTGTAGTTGAAGCTATAAAATTATGTTCAACTAGTTAGATTTTGGCATTAAATAACCCATAGATGTAGATATGCCACTGAATAAAATCAACCAAAATCCTTCAGGGAATGACCATTAATCATGATAGGTGAAGGTTCGGGGGTCTGCTTGAGTATTGTAGAACGTTACTAGTCTGGTTTTAGAGGTATTGGAAGATACTGGAAGCCGCCAGAGCAAGGTCAGAGGAGAGATCGGCTGCCAACCTCTAGATTTTTGGAGGTGCACCAATATACTGTTATATCGTCTGCCTATATATTTGCTGGAGATTTGAGTATGTTCGTAGGCTGATCATTAATATAAAGTAGAAAGAGGGTAAGACTGAGAAGGAAGCCTGTGAGTAAGCGTGCATTGATAGGGCAAAATTCACAATGAATAATAGATACTTGGATATAGTTATTTTTTTAAATGTTCCAAAAGTTTAATAGATGACTTGTTTACACTAGAGTCAAACAAGTATATACAGGTCTTTTTTACACGAGTGTCAAAATTATGCTTATATGTTCTGATTAGTCTAGAGTCAAAAAATTAGACATAGGTTAGTTTTCTTCTGTTAAAAATATAAACAGAGGTACGACTTAATCAAAAGGTCAAGATAGGTCCGTTTTAAACTGCACGAAAATGTTAGACAGAGGTTCGTTTTACACTGGGGTCAAAAAGGTAAAACGAACATATCGTTTTACACTACATAAAAAAGATAGATATAAGTCCGTTTTACAACAGAATCAAAATAGTAGACATATGGCAATTTTACACGAGTCAAAATGTTAAACATATGTTTGTTTTACACTATGGTCAAAAAGGTAGATATAGGTTCGTTTTACACTAAGTGAAAAATATAGATATATGTCCATTTTACACTAGAATAAAAAGGCTGGAATAGGTCCGTTTTACACTAGTCAAAAAAGGAGATATAGGTCCGTTTTACACTAGTCAAAAAGGCAGATATAGGTCCGTTTTACACTAGAGTTAAAAAGATCAATATAGCTCCGTTTTACTCTGGAGTAAAAGTTAACAAAGGACCGTTTTACACTAGAGATAAAAGATAAACAAAGGTAGACACAGGTCTGTTTGACATTAGAGTCAAAATTATTCTCACTGTCGCCGATGCTTGATTTTAAGCTTGATGTTTCCTTCAAAGAAGGATGTAAAAAGGTGATTTGAAAAGAGTGGTACTCAGCTCACAAGCTGTGAATAAATATATGTCGACGACCACAAGAGTGAAAATTGAGTTGCGTGGAAACTCTATGTTTAATCCGTTCTTTTACACATTACACTTGTTCCGTAATTGATATTGATCACTATATTAAGTTTTCGCCGAAACGTTTTTCACATCAAATCTTCCAGACTTTTGTTTAAAAGGTATTGATGTTGCTTGCTGTTTGTTTTGTTTAACGGTATATCAACCTCAATGGGTTATTTAATGCCGACAAGTTTTATATTGCTGGTAATTTTTTTTTTCAAAAATGTATTGCTGGTAATATTTTTTCCTTCAAAAAAATCTATTTCTGGTAATATTTTTTCTTCAAATAATCTATTTCTTGGGGTTTTTTCCTTCAAATAATCTATTTCTGGTAATATTTTTTCCTTCAAAAAAAAATCTATTTCTTGTAATATTTTTTCTTCAAATAATCTATCTCTTGGTTTTTTTTTTTCCTTCAAATAATCTATTTCTAGTAATATTTTTTCCTTCAAATAATCTATTTCCGGTAATATTTTTTCCTTCAAAAAATCTGTTTCTGGTAATATTTTTTCTTTCAAATAATCTATTTCTGGTAATATTTTTTTCTTCAAAAAATCTATTTCTGGTAATATTTTTTCCTTCAAATAATCTATTTCTGGTAATATTTTTTCCTTCAAAAAATCTATTTCTGGTAATATTTTTTCCTTCAAATAATCTATTTCTGGTAATATTTTTTCCTTCAAAAAATCTGTTTCTGGAAATATTTTTTCCTTCAAATAATCTATTTCTGGTAATATTTTTTCTTTCAAAAAATCTATTTCTGGTAATATTTTTTCCTTCAAAAAATCTATTTCTGATAATATTTTTTCCTTTCAAACATTTATTGCTGGTAATAATTTAAAAAATATATTTCTGGTATTAAGAGCTACTTTTACACTTTCATAGTGTTTTGACCTCAGGTTTTGGTGTTAACTATTTGCCCATAACTGGGGCCATAACAGCTGGTACCACCCGGGTCAGGGTGAACCTGGGAATACCAGCAATTTCAAGGTAGTTCTACGCTCCTCAAAACCTCCTGATCAGAGACCTTGCTGTTGGGCGTAGTTTATCATCTTACCCAGGACGAGAAGATCTTCCTGATAATTAGTAACATTTCACTGCAAATAATAATGACTATGTAAGGACATAAAATGTAATTTTACTTGACATTGGAACCTCGGTTCACGAATTTAATTCGTTCCTGAAGGCCGTTTGTAACCTGAAATGTTCGTAAACCGAAACTATTTTTCCAATAGGAATCAATGTAGAGAAAAATGTCACAGTACAATAAAATTGGTAAAAAAACGCGCCACAACACACGAATGTATAGAACAGGGCGGTCGACACAGAAATTATTCCGTTCGGGTTAACTCGGCTCGGCAAATGTTGTTCGAAAAGCGAAATTTTGTTCGATAACCGAGGCGTTTTTCATCTCAATTTTCTTTTCGAAAACCGATTTGTTCAACATGTGAGACGTTCGAGAACTATATATATATATATATATATATATATATATATATATATATATGTGTGTGCGTGTGTGTGTGTGTGTATATAAATAAAAATAAAGAACAGTAAGATATAAAATCCGGTGTTCTTATAGATATTTTTATTTTTATGGTCAATAGTGCTCAATGTAAATTTACAGAGCATTAATATTATAAATTAATTGATTTAAAATATGTTTTTTTTCATGCCTAGAGTACCAACCATGTTTCAAAAAAACTTTTTGAAACATGGTTGGAACTGTTTCAAAAACATGGTTGGAAATGTTTCAAAAAAAATTTTTGAAACATGGTTGGAACTGTGTAGCGAAAAAAAAACATTTTAAATCAATTAATTTATAATATATATATATATATATATATATATATATATATATATATATATATATATATATATAATAGAGAAGAGAGAAAAACAAATAGATGCACATGTCGATGTACTTATACATGCATTCTTGAGTACAACTATATAACTATATGAGTGTATGTGACTCTCTCTCCCTCTCTCTCTCTCTGTGTGTGTGTGTGTGTGTGTGTGTGTGTGTGTGTGTGTGCTTCGAATTATGACCCCATCCTGGTGTGACGCAGTGCGAATCCCTGACTTACTTCAAGTGCGGCGAACCCAACTTCAACCCGAGCGGCACGGACGATCAAGGTCTCCTCTCCACCCATCACACCGCCATCTTCCCCAACAAGACGTCTTGCGGATTCAGGCCTGACCCCCATCACTCCCACACACAAGGTTTCCTATAGCCATGCCGCTACAAACAACAACTTCTGCCGCTTTGAACCACAACACCTATTGCCGCCTCCTCTTCTCCCGTTATTTCTGGGGTACCTACCCTGGACAGATGTGGACCCGGAATTTCTTGTGTACTAAATAAACATTCGACGTTATCACTGAAGCAACAGACACCGTAAGAAACCACAAAACTGCAAAGGTACTTTCTTGAGAGAAACCCTTTCTTGAGTATATATATATATATATATATATATATATATATATATATATATATATATACTAGTATGCAAAAGTTCAGGGCCAATTACATAAAATGATCATACACCTTTATTTTATTAAGAAGTTATGGTTGTTTAGCATTATGCTTTTATCTGTGCACCATACGGATTGAAAAACTAGTTACGTTTTTGTAGGTGTCGTGGGAGGCACGGTGGAGTAAAGGATAGCGACTCGGATTGAGGAATAGGAGAGCCGAGTTCGAATTGCAGTCGAATCCATTACATTCACTAATGCTAATACTCTTGCGAAAGGTATGAATCTTCTTCTTCTACTCAGCTACCGGGTTTTATAGCCTTGGATATCAACTGGTCTACTGCAAAAAAAATGGCAACCTACTGTGGGAAAAAAATCTGAATCGAAAATACATGATCGCCGAAGCGTGTTACATAACTGACTGAAATGTAAGAGAATAAACACTTCTATGGGTCATTTAATGCCGAAATCAAAATATTTTATACGCAATGATATGCTTTCAACTACTGATAAAATGTACTTTTGGGTCATTTTGCTATTAAAAAGTAATGTTAGTAATTCTACTATAAAATGTAGTGCTGGCCATTTTGCTTTAAACTATATTGTTAAGTTTACTATAAATAGGTATGTTTTTAATACATTGCTGGTATTTTTTACTATAAAAATGTATTTTTATACTTTCATAGTGTTTTGTTTAGAAGTCTACTATTTGCCACTAGATGATACCCTAACATCTGCTAGCACTCCGTCTAAGTAAGAATTATTCCATCTTATTAATATGAGCGTAAGGTGCTTTGTCAAGCCATCGTAGCTGAACATTAGCATGAGTTTTTTACACTAAAATAATGACTAAAATTTCTGCAGAAACAAAGATGAAGGATATGACTTTGAAGTGGAAGATGACTAAACGAGAGATAGTCAAGTGGCCGGGAATCTCCAGAAAAAGTGTTCAAATTATCCAAAAGAAGTCTGCTACTACTGGAAGTGTTTTCAGTGCTAGTAAAACAGAAAGCTTGGTTTGGTTTGGTTTGTTTTACGGTATATCAACATTAATGGGTCATTTAAAGCCAACAACTTTTCCCTGGTAATATTTTTTGTTTTGTCAAAAATTTATTTTTGTTAATATTTTTTTCTCCTCAAGAATGTATAGCTGGTAATATTATTTTTTCAAAAACGTATTGCTGGTAATAGTTTTTTCTTTTCTTCAAAAATATTTTTTTGGTAATTTTTTTTTTTACAAAGTATTTCTGGTATTAAAACCTATTTTTACACTTTCATAATGCATTTTACCTCAGTTTGGAGGGTAAACTATTTGCCCATAGCTGGGACCCTAACAGGTGCTACCACCCGGGACAGGGCGGACCTGGGAACACCAGCAATTAAGAGGAGGTTCCACGTTCCTCAAAACCTTCTCATCAGAGGCCTTGCTACTGGACGTAGTTTATCGTCTTACCCTGAATGCGGATGTAGTTAACTGTCATACCCAGGACGATAAAACAGGTAGACCACAACAATTTGATAAGAAATCTGAAAGAAAGATTCCTGGTAGGCAAACCAAAATTAACAGCCAGACAAGTGATGAATGATTTCAGTCTTAATGGTAATGTTTCAGTTAATACAGAACGTAGAGTATTACAAAAAATAACTTGAATAAGTTTATAGCCGCAAAAAAATATCATTGACCGAAAAACATTGGAATAAAAGATTGAAGTGGCCGAAAGAACATCTAACATAGAGTGCTGGAAAGTGACAAAAAATTAATTTTTAATGATGAATGTAAAATAGAGTTCCATTTTAATACAAGAAAATATGTAAGGAGACCAGTGGGAGAAAGAAATAATGTACGTTGGGTACCAAAGGAAAGATGGAAGATTTGAAATGATTAAGTGATGATAATATGCAAATTTCTAAGTAGGAAATATTCGATCGTATTAGCATGAATATAAGGTACATTATCCAGTCATTTTAGTGGAACATTAGCTTGTTTTTTACACTAAAATCCTGGCTAAAATTTCTGCTGAAACAAAGATGAAGGTTATGACTTTAAAGTGGAAGATGACTAAACGAGAGATGGTCAGGTGGCCGGGAATCTCCAGAAAAAGTTTTCAAAATCATCCAAAAGGAGTATGCTACTACTGGAAGTGTTTTCAGTTGCAAGGAAAATAGGAAGACCACTATAGTTTCATAAGAAAGCCGAAAGAAAGATTCTAGTTAGGCAATCGAAAATTAACAACCAAACAAGTGATGAGTCAATACGCTCTTAACAGAAAATTTCCAGTTTGATACACTTCGCCGAGTATTAAATAAAATAGCTTGAAGATGCGTATAACAACAAAAAAACATCCTTTATCATGAAACATTTTCAGTTATCAGTTTTTCCGTTATCTTCTTTTTCGCCTTTATCCACAGTGGCTAAAGGCGTTAGTTAGATCCAGTGACAGGACCCAAAGAGTGTGAGTTCAATACCAGGTTAAGGCAGTGGAGAACTTGGGGAGATGAATTAACAGGAGATAACTGATAACTGACACCCATTAGACATTGCACGTGGAACTAGAACAGTCTACCCCAGCGAACGAAATAAAGGGTTCAGTTCGACATTCCAATCACCTGAAGAAGGTCGGATCGTACAACGGTCGAAACGTTATAATAGATATGGCGACAAAGATGAGGATAATAGTCCGAATAATATAAATAGTGTCCATCCTACATAACCTGATGATATTCACTTCTTACCACCTCTTTCATTTACATCAGTCAATTATGAGCCATACACGCTTAGACGTGATACACGCTTAGGCGATCATGTATCTTTCGATACATGACTGACGAGGCAGATTTTTCCCGCAGTAGGTTGCCATTTCTTTCTGCGGTAAACCAGTTGCCATCCAAGGCTATAGAACCAGATCTTTCCTACCATTTACCCATAACTGAAGAGAGAAGAGGATTCATACCTTTCCCAAGGGATTTAGCACGTAAGTGAATATAATGGATTCGACTCAACCCAGGCCGCTATCCATTACTCTACCGTGACTCCCTACGTCTTTATTAATTTACATGCGAGACATTATTCATCATAAACATTTTAACAATAAGCCCCATGATTTAAGTAGTTTCCAAGACTTGTTTTGGGTGAACTTTTTAAAAAAAAAAATACCTGAATTCTATTTTGAAATCAGATAGTCAATTTACACTATTCGCGTCCATGAAAATAACACTAAAACGCAACCATTTGGAGCATGCTGATAACAAAGGGAAGATCGTAAATGCTAAAACCTTAATCGACACAAACAAAAGCGCGGTTTTGGTCACTTCGATATGGGATAATGGTTAGCAAGGTCGTCTTACTCGATCAATTACGTCTGAGTCGTGGGTTCGATTCTCATTAGATGCGCCACACATTTGGCCTTGAGTCACACGTAAGCTAGGCTTAGAAAGCCATTTCAGCACTTCGATGTGCTGTAATTGTTAGCAAGCACGTTTCGCTAGATCAATTACGACAGAGTAGTGAGTTTGATTCTCGCTGCCCCACACTTTCGGCCTTGTGTCGCATCTTAGATACCCTTAGAAAAATTTTAGCACTCAGACGTTGTGTGATTATTAGCAAGTTTGTCTTGCTAGATCAATTACGACTGAATAGTGAGTTCGATCCTCACTGGGTGCTCCACACTTTTCGCCTTGTGTCACACCTACGTTAGGCTTAGAAAAACTTTTTGCTAGATCAATAACGACTGAATACAGAGTTCGATCATTACTACTGCTCCACACGTTCTGCTTTGTGCCATATCTAAGCTACTCAAGCAGAAATGTGGTACCATTTATTAACGATTTGATTCGTGGAAAAAGAACAACGTGAATAATCAGCAAATTATAACTGTCCTTGTATATATCTATTGTTATAATTACTAGATACCATTTAAGTCAACTCATCAAGCAGAAACGGGTAGCATGCTTAGTTGACAGTCGTTATTATAAAATTAAATTCGATCCTCACGGGGTACTCAAATATTGTCACCTTGTGCTAGATTATGCTATGCTTATTAAAAACCATCGCGTGTCAGTCAAGTCCATCTTAAAGAATATTTCGGTTTCTACATCATGAATATATATTCAGAAACGCGTCCTTTCTAGCCCCACATGCAAAACGAGTCATTGTCCACCTCGACAGTGATCCCCTCTTTCGCGTATTTTCTTCGAAAATAGAAAAAGGGAAAAAAACACAAACCCGTTCTGGAAAAACACGAGGGAATAGAGTTCAACGCCGTATTTTTCGCCATATTACCAGCTAGGGCGTACTGTACACTCCAAACTGGGGATCCAAACATCATGTTCCTGATAATTGGTTTGAATAATGAAGTCAACTTTTCCGTGCTGTGTTCCTTAAGAACATAGACGATTACGGCTCTCCACAATTTCCTGTCCTTTGTAGCTGTGAGAAAGTTTTACCCTTTTTCTATGTCTTCTAAACACTGTCCTGCCGACACAAATTTGTTGGATAGGTCATTCACTGCTTTCCTCTATCCGTCTTGCCTTCAGTATATCTTGTGAGTGTCGAATGCTCCAAACCCTCTTTCCTTGTGTTGTATAGGAATAAAGTGTCGTTGCCGACACTGTAGTTTGAACACAGATCACCAGTAAGCAAACATGGACGATTCCATTATTAAATAAATAGATCACGTGA